ACGGGGGCTCTTTTTGGCATTTCCGGGGCTATTTTTGGCATTTCGGGGGCTAAATCGCCCCGAGCCCCCGTGTATTTTTTTCACTGAGCCTCGCCATTGGAACGTTGCAAAAACGTTGCAGCGTTGTGGCGCAAGAATGAGGTCACGAAGAGCGCCGGTGGGCATTTCCTGATTCTGACAGACATTTACATTTACTGGGCAAGGTTCACGAACGAGAGAATTTCGTCAGTCTTTGTGTGATTTCGTGTGACACAGCTCGGTTACGAACACAGACAGTATGTTTTTATAACAAGTGAACACTGTTCTCGAAAGAGAAACAAAGATGCAAGCTGTTGGATGTGTATTCGTGCTGTGAAAGTGTGAAATCAAGCGAGCGTCGAGCGAATTTTGCGATCCCGCTTTCCTAACTGCTATATGTATGTGTAAGCGTGCAACAGTGCACGTCGCGAGAGCAATGGCAGCCGGCAGCATATATGGTTGTACGTAGGATTTGGACAGAATTTACAGGAAACTGTCGTCAATAATAGGTGAAAGAGAGCATAGAAACATTAAGAATTTGTTAGTAAATAGATTTCGTATTTAGTTAGCATTATATTTTATTGAAACGCTTCAAGTGCCTGTGGTGCTGTGCCTGTAGTACCAAACACGAGTCTGAAGCAGTACTGGCGGCAGTAGTAATGCAGGCTCAAGGATAGAGAGCATGGTTGTGAGAGCAAAGCCGATGTGTTACGCTACATAGTTCTCAATCTCGCCATGCTCTCTATCCTTGTACCGTAATGCAGATGGGGTCGTTGTCGTATCAGGTACTACAGATATGTAACCGAGGTAGTTTTAGGTTGTTTAGTTTTATGTTTATATTTTTATATGAGGTATGTTTAGGGTTAGGGTTAAGGTTAGGGTTAGGGTTAGGGTTAGGGTTAGTGTTAGAGCCACTGTCGGCAATAATAGGTGAAAGAGAGTATAGAAACATTAAGAATTTTGTAGTACTACTACTAGTATTAGATTTCGTATTTATTTAGCATTATATTTTATTGAAACGCTTCAAGTGCCTGTGTCTGTACTGTAGTATCTGATAGTGATACGACAACGACCCCTTGAGCAGTACTCCCAGTAGTGCTCATAGGGTCTATGTCCCCCAGGGTACTGCCGGAACTAGATACAATAATGTAACCCAAACCCAAGAGGATAGGGTTACAAAGTGTCCCTATCCTTTTCTGCGGAGGAATGCCCGAGTGAATCACTCGGGCCGGTTTGCTGGTGCATTTTCAGATACTAGAACTTCCAAACTGGGTTTATTCTCAAGACGAACCTTTCTCCGCTATCTGGGAACTTACTATGTATCGCAATACTCTGTATTAAACTAATATAACCTGTTACAAAAATTCGAAGTGACGAGCGGCGAATATACTGGGCGCCATTTCTGTTGACCTGTGACGTACGCATTTCCCAATGCGCATAGCGATCGGCAAACGCAGCGCCCTCCGATTGGTCGGTGAATCCATTATCATTGCAGCATGTAAAAGGTATCATATCTGATGTATATTTGATAGGTATCACTACCCAGTATGTAGAAGGTATGTGATGTATATTTGATAGGTATCCTTACTGTTATCATTGCAGTTTGTAGAAGGTATGTGTGATACATGCTCACTGACGACCAACGCAGATTTGTTGTTCTATTTTGCAGCTTTTATTGTAGTGCATGTGTAGAAGGCATGTGATATATATTTGATAGGTATTACTATACTGTTATCATAGCAGTGTGTAGAAGGTATTATTATAGGTAAAATACAAAATGATATTATTGTTTTGTTCTTTATTGTCAAAAATGTCTAAATAATATTGGTCCAGTAAAATTTAGTCCGGTCCAGTAAAATTTAGTCCGGTCCAGTAAATTTTGCTGGCTTGGTGGACCGAAGGTCCAGTGTTTAGAAATTTCATTCGTGAAGACTGTATGCCGGTATGTAGCTGTATGCCGGGTCAAAGGTTATCTCGCCGAGTGTTGCGTAGATGTCCAATCTCCCAGCAAGCCACACAGCCTCGCCGAGTGAGCGACAGTGCGTTAGTAGCTGCCTTTTGTTTGCAAGTTCGGCGGGGAATACTTTCGGATTGATGGCCAAAGAATGGATAATCGTGTCGTACGTTTTAGACTGTATCTCTGGATTGCTGGTGTATACGAGGAAACGATTTCGCACGATGCTAGGCGAATGTGCTGTGTACGATTTGAGCTCAAGTTGGATGAGTTACGCATAGTAAATCGTAGGTATTATAAGGCTAGTAAATGACGAATTTCCCTTTTTTATCGAAGTCACACTCCTTCCCTATTATCTACTCCTGGTATTATGTAACACTTAAATAGCCAATATTTATTTATTCTTTTTTTTAAATTTTATTTATTACAAGTACATACTATAAGTATAAGATCAGTGACAGTATTACTGTTGTAGATTTGATAATGTCATAACCAAGCATTGAAAGTATAGCCTATAGGCGGCGGCGAGTGCGGGAGCGTTCCGCATTAGTTTTTGTGAAAGAAAGTTCATATACATTGCCACAACAGTGGAAGTGTAATTGAGAGGTAGTATTTGTGAATGTGCATTCATATTATTTTCAGTTTTTACTGACTCTGTCCCAAGTGCCTGTGCTGCATGGGGCCCACAGGCACTTGGAGCGTTTAAAAAAAATATAATGCTAAATAAATACGAAATCTATTTACTACCAAAGTCGTAATGTTTCTATACTCTCTTTCGCCTATTATTGCCGACAATTTCCTGCAAATGCCGTCCAAATGCTAATCTGCAACAAACGCTGGCTGCCGCTGCACACTGACACATAAATATATAGCAGGTAGGAAAGCGTGCTGCCAAAATTCGCTCGACGCTCAATTGATTTCACACAAATACAACACAAATATCCAACCATTCTACTCCATCTTTGTTTCTATTTGAAGAACAGTGTTCACTTGTTATAAAAACATACTGTCTGTGTTCGTAACCGAGCTGTGTCACGCGAAATCACACAAAGACTGACGAAATTCTCGCGTTCGCGAACCTTGCCCAGTAAATGTAAATGGCTGCAAGTACAGGGCTATATAGACTGGGACTCGCTCCCACCTCGATTACCCATCGAGTGACCGACACCATAGGCAACTTTCAAGGAAAGGCTACCCTGCATCTGAAGGATGATGCCAAACCGACGATTGATCCGCCCAGGAAATGTAGCGTGCACCTACGAGACAAGATCAAAACAGAATTGAACAACATGGAAGGCAATGGGATCATTCGCCATGTTGAACACCATACCGATTGGTGTAGTTCCATGACTACGGCAGTCAAGAAAGGATGGTCCTTCGTTTGTGTCTCGACCCCAAACGGCTCAACGATGCATTGAAGAGGTGTCCACACAAGACACCGACATTAGAGGAAGTTAACCCTACATTTGCTGAAGCAAGATACTTCTCTAAGTTGGATGCAAAAGCCGGCTATTGGTCGGTTCACCTTGCAGAGGAATCGCAAGAACTCACAACCTTTCGCACGCCATTTGGCAGATATTGCTTCCAACGTCTCCCCTTTGGCCTCTGCGTCAGTCAGGATGTTTTCCAGCAGCACATGGACAGGATCATCAGTGGTCTGCCTGGATGTGTATGCATCGCGGATGACATAGCTGTCGTTGGTCGGACCGAAGAAGAACATGACACAAATCTGCGTCAGCTGATGGATAGAGCAGCGCGAGAGGGCCTCGTCTTCAACAGCACGAAATGCGACATCAAGAAGGAGAGCATCACGTTCTTCGGATCGCTCTATACCAGGACAGGCATCCACCCAGACTCAGGAAAAGTGGAAGCCATCAAGGCAATGCCAACGCCTCAAGACAAGGAGGACGTCCAGCGATGCCTTGGACTCTTCACATTCCTTGCTGGTACATCCCAACTTCTCTGAGAAGGCCAGCACCGATGCGGAAACTACTCAAAAGATGTTCCGTTCCTCTGGGACGTTGACCACGAACATGCCTTCAGCATACTCAAGGATGCTATCACGAAGCAAGCGCGTCTCCAGTACTACGATCCACAGAGGACACAACCCTCGAAGTGGATGGGTCCATGAAAGGAGTAGGGGCATGCCTACTACAGGGCGCAAACGATAGCGTTTGCATCGAAAAGCCTGTCCACAGCCGAGTCTAACTATTCAAACATTGAAAGAGAGACGCTAGCGCTCGTATTCGGCATCAATCGCTTCCACACATACCTGTTTGGAAAGGAGTTTGTCGTGGAAACTGACCACAAACCTCTTGAAATGATTTGGAAGAAGCCACTCAAGAGTGCACCGCCTCGCCTTCAGAGGTTACTCATCAAGATCCAAGGATATAAGTGTGACATCAGGTATAAACCTGGAAAGCACATGTGCTATCTGACACACTGAGCAGGATGCCAAATCCTGCCGACAGCCAGGACATTCCCATAGATGTCGCGGTAGATTTCATCGGCACAGAGATTGAAGGCTCACTGGACATTGATCTCATGTTCTTTGGCCATAGCAAGAGAGAGGAACTTCAGAAGGAAACTTCTGCTGACCCCGTCCTACGTGGCCCTATGGCAACAAGTGACAAATGGTTGGCCAGAATCCATCAAGGAGGTGCCCACGGCGTTGCGCACATTTTGGACATTCAGAGACGAGCTTGGCGTCTCACATGGAGTTCTCTTTAAAGGGAAGCAGGTTGTAATTCCCCCAACACTACAAAAAGACATCCTAGGACAGCTCCACATAGACACATGGGCATTGAGCGAACGCGCAGACTAGCCCGTGAAACAGTTTTCTGGCCAGGAATTAACAATGATATCGAGCATATCACAAAGGACTGCCCTGCGTGCCAGGAACTGCAAACAAGACAGCAAAAGGAGCCTCTCCAGCCACATGATGTTCCAACAGCTCCCTGGACCAAGCTGGCAACAGACCTGTTCACCTTGAACAGACAGGACTATCTCCTCATCACAGACTACCATTCAAAGTACCCGGTACTTTACAAACTGAAAGACACTTCAAGTGCAGCAGTAGCAGGAGTGATGAGTGGAGTCTTTAGCCTGTTGGGTCCACCTGCAGAAATCGTATCAGACAACGGCCCCCAGTTCTCCGGACGACCATTCCAGGAAATGTGCAAGAAATGGTCAATCACCCACGTGACCTCATCACCACATTATCCTAGGTCCAATGGACTGGCAGAGCGCATGGTACGGACTGTCAAGTCAATGCTCAAGAAGTGCAGCATGACTGGTCAAGACGCACAGATTGCAATGCTCCACCTCCGAGCGACACCAGTTGACTCGCACATGAAGTCTCCAGCTGAACTTCTATTAGGAAGGCCCATCAGGACCAGTCTTCCTGGCCACCATCTTGCAGACAATGCATCCGACACGGAGCATCTCCTGCAGAGGCAAAATAGAATGAAGGAAACACATGACAGACATGCTGGGACAGAACTCCCACCACTTCACGTTGGACAACAGGTCCGTGTCCTACACCCGCAGGAACACACGTGGATACCCGCGAAGATTTCAAGGGTGTGTGCCGAACCACGGTCGTATGAGATCGCCACCCCCAACGGGGCTATTCTTCGTCGCAATCGCTCCCACTTGAGGGAGATTCCGGTCAGTAATACGCCCAATCATGCGCAAGAAGTTGCCAAGCGTATACACTTTGCCGACGACCCCGCACCACACCAACATCACACTCCCACTAGCAGAGACAGTCGTAGCGCAAACACACCCAACGCAGAGCGCAATCACGACACTCTGAACACAAACACACACTCTGATTATATAACCACTCGATCAGGTCGCACAATTCGAAAACCGGCCAGATATCAGCCCTAGTGAACGTACACCCAGGTACGCGAATATAATGAAAAGTTAGAGACGTGATTTTTCTTAGTTGGTGTAAGCAAATATTGTTCTTTTGCATATTTTTGTTTATTTGTAAGGTAGGGAGGAGGGTACCAAGTTGGTCCCCAATGGGTTTTTAGTTGAAGGATATGGCAGTGTCAAAAGACTGCCGCTATTGTTTATATTTGTTGTTGGGTCAAGCAAGTTATTGGATCCATGTGTTACCTGTTAAGGTTTTCTTTGGAGTTACTAATATATGTCTTATAGGAACCATAGGGAAGTACACTGAAATAATAGAAGCTACTTGAGTACATTGTGATGCTAATCACTCCCGAATGGCGCAGTATAATAGTATGGACAAACATTTATTAATTTAAGGTGTTATTAAAATAAGCAAGGTTGACTAAGAAGTTAGGAAAGTATAGCATTTCATGTTAGGGTCAATGGCGTTGTATTGTACAATTTATTAGAACATGGTTTGTTAAAGGGGATTGTATTTAACTTCAAAGGAAGGGGGATGTTACGATATGACATTCATGTATCAATACCATATATGTCATATCGTTGATGACGTCACATCACAACATAAGAGCATTAATAAAATGGCTACCTATAACTAATAACGTGGTTGAGCAGTGCCTCCTTATTATAAGCCTTCGGGCACGCTTCACAGTACCCTGGGTACGGTCCGGTATACCGGAACGTACCCAGGTAACTATTTGATATGGTTAGAGTTAGGGTCAGGGTTAGGGTTAGGGAGTAGGCGTAGGCGACTCCCTAGACTCGTTAGTGGAGTAGGCGAGGTACGGTCCGGCATATTAGATAGTACCAGGGTACGTTTCGGCAGTACCCTGGGGGACATAGACCCTCTCAGCCCCAGTAGTACTAGTAATAGTTACAGTAGCTCCAAGAAACGGTATTGCTAGGGGTTAGAATACCGTATGTATAGACAATCCGCCGCACAGCCTGGTCGGGCTATGCCTATACTATACTCTATAGTTATGCTGTAACCAAACTTGGAATCTGCCCAATCTCGAGATTG